TGTTTGGATGAATGACAGTCCCGCTCTCGTTTTTTTATTTCACCTCTTCTATGCTGTCAAATTCCTGTCCTTTCAAGTCCTTCTTTATTCAAGGAAGCAAAAAGAAGCCACATGGTGTGTGCGAGATCAGGTGAGTAAGGTATATGGGGCAAGGGAGGCATGCTGTTTTTTTGTGTGTGCCAAAAACTGGTGCACTGAGATGGCTGTGTGAGCAGGTGCACTGTTGTGGTGGCAAAACCAGTCCCCTGTCCTCTACAAATCAGGCCTTTTTTGTCACACACTGTTACGCAATCTCTTTAGAACCTCTAATTAGAAAGCTTGATTAACAGTCTGACCTGATGGAATGAACTCTAAAGGCAGTACTAAGGGACATTTTCATCCGTTTGGGAAGTTGACGGGTGACCAGCACGAGGTTTGTCATCAATCAACATTTCACCTTTTTTTAAACCAGAAAACCACTTGTGCACTTGAATTTTTCCCACAGCGCTATCCTTGTAAGTTGCGTTCAACATCACAACAGTTTCTGCGGTGCTTTTCCCGAGCAGGAAACAAATTTTACAGCTGCATGCTGTTCTCTTAAATCAGCCATCACAAAACACGAGGTTCAAGCAAAACGGCTTTTACGAAAAAATTCACTGTGACCAGAGAGAGCCTTCCCAGGCAACACCACTGGGTGCACTAACTCAGAGCGAGTTGATCAATGCCCACCTACAGGAAAAATGTGTACTACGAAAGCCTTACCCAGCAGAGCTTTCTTCCATTTCTCTCTCTCTCTCTTCTTGGTACCCCTTCATATGTGGAGAAAATAATTTAAAGAGCTGAATTATATGAAGAAAAGCATCCGGATGAGAGTAAGGCTTATTAGCAACCTGTGCTATGCAGATGGCACAGTCTTGCTTTCTGAAAGCTAAGAGGGCTTGAAGTACTGGCCGATGAAGATCAAGACATGCCGCCGTCAGTACGCATGATAAAAATGAGCAACATCGTGATAAGTAGAGAAAAGATTGAAGTAGTAAGGATTTCACTTTGATTAGATCCATAATCAATACTCATGGGAGCAGCAGTCGAATTATCAAATGATGTATTGATTGGGCAATACATTGGGCAAATCTGCTGTTCAAGACCTTTCCAAAGTATTGGAGAGCAACAAAACGACATCACTTTGGAAACTACGGTGCACCTTACATTTTTAACCACGTCATAAGCATGTGAAAGTCAGACAATGAATAAGGAAGGCTACAGAAGGATTGATGTAGTTGAATTGTGGTGTTTGATGAAAAATAATGAAAATACCATGGACTGCCAAAGGAACCAACAAATTTGTTTCAAAGGAACAAGTTAGCGGTTTACAGACACTATATTGTTTCCTTTTCTCCGGACACTCTACAGAGTATGCTCTGGGATAGGGCATCCCTGAGGTCTAAATCTGCTTTCCTTAAGACCCCAAGGCCACAGTCAATCTTGATAACCCCGTCAATTTTCCAGAAGAAAGAAAAAGCATGTAAAGTGTAGAGACTCTGTGGGCAAGGACAGAGTTTTCTGAGAGCTTCCCATAACATCAGCTGGGTGTTTACTCGCTGCCACTGAATCATTGGCCACTCACAGTGACCCTTAGAATTGCTACTGTGGGTGTCTTAGAATGTATTTTTTAATGGGAATAAATACAGCTTTTACTTATTTGGCTAAAGATTGAATACAAAGTGCTATCTAATTCTTTGGTTAAGACACTACTGGTTGATGCATAAAAAAACTCTATTTCTTGAAGTATCACCAGAAAATGTTGGCTTAGCTTGGGGAACAATTACAAAATATGGATGGCATCAAATTCAAATAGACCTGTGGAAATTCCGACAGATTTTCCTTGTTCATTGGTATTAACAATTTCGTCAAGGCACCCTTTGATGGCACACAGAGTTAAGCAGTTGGTACTAACTGAAAAGCTGGAGGTTGGGATCCACCCAGAGGGACTTCAGAAGAAAGGCTCTTCTTCCGAAAGATCAGAGCCTTGGAACACCTGATGGAGGGCACACTGGTACAGATAAAAGCTGGAAACACAGGGAATCCAGGACAGATAACCCCCTCAGGACCAATAATGAGATTGGCGATACCAGGAGGGTAAGGGGAAGGT